ATGTTTTTTGGGGGGCACAATTCAATCCATAACATCCATTTTCATGGCTTTAAGTCAGTATAGGTATGGAGTTGTACTAATGTGATCCATAATATTTTGGATGGCTATGTGCTTAAAAATAGTATAGGTGGAAGTCTGATAGAGGCTTTTATTTTATTGTTGTACTTTAAGTGAAAGTTTATGTTTCAAGTTAGTCTCTCATACAAAAATTTATACATACATTGTTATGTGACCCTAATTGCTCTCCCTGTACTGTGACAGCACCTTCCTCCTTTCCACCTTGGATTTCCCGTGTCCGTTCAGCCAGCTCCTGACCCTCTCTGCCTTCTTGTCTCACCTCTGGACAGAAGCTGCCCATTTTGTCTCGTGTATCTACTTGAGCTGAGAAGCACACTCTTTACAAGTATCATTTTACGTCCCACAGTCCAGTCCAATCTTTGTCTGAAGAGTTGGCCTCGGGAATTGTTTTAATTCTGGGCTGACAGAGAGTCCAGGGGCCATGTTTTCCGGGGTTCCTCCAGTCTCAGTCAGACCATTAAGTCTGGTCTTTTTACTAGAATTTGAGTTCTGCACCCCACTTTTGTGATAGCAGCTTTTAGATAGCAAGGTGATTTTTCTCTATATACTAGCGGTAAAGTGACTTGTATTTATTAACTGTGGGAAGTGACAAATAAGAGGGCTAAAGACAGTGTGCTGCTGCTGCTGGGATTTCCATGGTTACCGGGCTGGAGCCCTTGTCCAGGATGTGGCTTCTTATCCTTGTCAAATCATGCATACCTATCAAAGAGTTGTATTTTCAACTACAGGGTCGAACATACTCATAACTATCCATCTTTTATAATCGTTACCCAAGTGATATGCTTCTAATAATCATGGACTGAAGTTCTTGGATGATTTACTTCACTTAGAATCTACTCTCTTGTTTTCATTTTTTTTTTTTTTTATTGTACTTTGGGTGAAGGTTTACAGAACAAATATTTTCTCGTTAAACAGTCAGTACACGTATTGTTTTATGACATTGGTTAACAACCCCATGACATGTCAGCACGCTCCCTTCTTGGCATTGGAGGACTTTTTTTTTTTTTTTTGGTGAAAATATACATAGCCAAAGATACACCATTTCAAAAATTTCTACATGTACAGTTCAGTGACGTTGATTATGTTCTTCCAGTTGTGCTGCTATTCTCACTTTAGATGAAGGTTTACAGAACAAAATAGTTTCTCATTAAACAGTACACATATTGCCCTATGACAGTGGTTAAGGACCCCACTACACGTCAACACTGCCCTTACTCAACCTTGGGTTCCCTATCACCAGCTTTCCTGCCCCCTTTTGCCTTCTAGCCTTTGTCCCTGGACTGCTGTCCCTCATTAGTCCCGTTTTGTTTTATGGGGCCGTCTAGTCCCCGGCTGAACGGTGAATCTCGGGAGTGACTTCACCACTGAGCTAAAAGGGTGTCCCAGGGCCATACTCTCGGGGATGTTTTCAATTTTTGTTTTTTTTGTTTAATAACGTCACTCTCACTTCCTTACATACCCGTGTGTCTCCTTGAGTAGAGGAGCGTGAAGTAGAGTTACCTACATGAATATCTCTGGAGTGGTGCCTAAGAACCCTTGGGAATGTGTTGAACATGGGTATCATGTGTTATATCTGTTGTTTTGGAGAAAAGATTGGATTCTCCATGAAACAGAATCTGAAATGAAGATTTGCGGGTGGTTTAGTGGGATGGCCTTTCTGAGAGGTCCCAGTTGAGGCAAGCGGGCCAGGCCAGGCCTTTCTACCCACGCATTGATAGTATAGGATGCAACCTTGGGTGAGGCAGCTCTTGGCCAAGGGCAGTGCCTAGGAAGGTACTCGGCCATGCCCATCTCCAGGCAACACTCTTGGCATCTGGAGTAGGAGTGTCTGGAATTGAAGTGGGGATCTGAGTGACCCACCACAGCATCCACTGCAAGAATCATTGATAGAATATCTTGCCAAAATTATTCCAAGTGACGGCATGAAACTTCAGCATTTGGTCTCCTGCCCTTGTGGGGCTCCCTGTTTCTTAAAATGTGTAACTTCCTTTAGAGTACTGGGTTCTTTTTTCATGCTGTTCCCCAACCAGGGGTAGCTAAAGGGAAGGGACTTGATATGTTTTGGGCTGATGATCATTTTGGACTTTACAAGTCTTAATTCTAAAATAATACAGTATTAAAAAAAAAAAGTTTGGCTGCATAATGCTGGTGTTAACATAATTATAATTCATTGCTTTGTAATAGTTTTTGTTCTCCAGAACTTATAAATGGTCAAGAACCGTCACAACTCGGGCATTACCAGTAAGACCAGTGTGGCATCTCTGTGATCGTCTGCTGGTGTTGGTGGCCAGGACACCACTGCCTAGTCATATGCAGCCTGGCGGGTCGCCTCTTTTCCATCCCCTATGAACCTGAGCAAATCCTTCTTTAGTTATTACCGTGGCATAACCTTTGAAAATGGATTATTTTTTTAAAGTCCTCTTGGAAAAGCCTCCTGTTAATGGGTGCTTCCAGTGTTCAGACTCCTGGATAACTTAGCTTCTGCTGTCCCATCCCATTTCCACTGTCATCAAACTGTCATCTGCTTATACTACAGCAATGGGAGACAACTTTTTCCACTGTGTAAACAGCAAACTGGTTTAGGAGTGACTTGGAATTTGGGTCAAATCGTTACATATTTGTTGAAGGCAGGGAGCTAGAGTGCCACTTCATATTGACAATAGCAATCATTTATTGCATGCTTAGCCCTGGTACTTGTGCCAGACCTTCCTGTGTATTATTCCGCTTTATCCTCACAGCTGCCTGAGGAAATAGGTATGTTACTATCTCTATTTTACCTACCAGGAAGCTGAGGCCCAGGTGCACGTAGCGTGGGTCTCACGGCAGGTGGGATGGCCGAACCCAGATAATCAGTGTGAATCTGTGCTCTAAATCTCCGTGCTGGGCTGTATCCTGGGGATCATGGTGGTTGGCATCCAGGAGGATGGGGGCAGGGTTGGGAGTGTGCTAAGGTAGCAAGCAGCTCTGTCTTCAAGGATGAGCATGGAGAATGGGCAAACATGGGCAAACAAATAGGTGAAAGAGGGTGGGCTCCTGCTACCAGGAGAGGGAGTTTCTGCACTAGAAAAACCAAAAAACAAAGATGATTTCTTGTGTCTTGTCACTTTAGTGTCAAGCCCAGAAACAAGTTCATAGTGAGTTTTGAGTGGGACCAATTTCAGAAAGCAATACCTGGCAAGTCTTTAACAGTGAAACACAAAATATGACTTCAGTTTGAATGGGTGCAGGCTTTTCTGAGCCTTCTTCCAAGTTGGTTTCTCTCTCTCTCTTTTTTTTTTTTTTTTTTTAACCAATGCTTGTCAGTAGACTTCTCCACTTCACCGTAGTCACAATGATCCAAAAGAGAAAGCAGAAGGAAGTCCGGGGTTACAAGTGTGTGCTGTGCTGGAGTGTTAGGGGATTTTCAGTTGTCTCTGGGGTGGGACAGAGGGTGATGTCTCTTGTTCTTGAGTAGTGAAGCCAGTTACTTGTGGGAGGGGACCTAGCCTGACATCAGACCAATGATTTTCCATTATTTTTTTGGGCAGGGACTCCTTTGCTGCCCGATTACACTTGCAGATGTTTTCCTGTTTTTTTCTGTATGACCAACATTTCTCTCCTGATTTAACATTCTGTTCCTTTGTTGCCCGTAGAGAACTGACAGCTCGTACTCCTTTTTCCTCTAGAGATTCTTTTTGGCCCTGTTACTTAGCCTTGTACTGTTTTTGCAGTTGAATGCCACATTTCCTTCTTATGCCTAGGGATGTCTGTTAGCCCAGAGACTCCTATATGAACAGAAACGTGATTCCAGAAAGATCTTCACTCTGGTTTTTGGTAGGATCTCAATCAGTCCTCACACTCCCTTAAAAACGCTGAGACTATTTTCTACTTTGAGAACGCAGCCTTGTAGTACATAAGACGGTTGTATTTTAGAGGGGAGTTAACAATTTGCTTGCTACCAATAAGTCATGGATGTCAGTCAAAGCTGATTAAAAATGAATTCTGTTAAGCAAGTTCTATTGGGACAAAGAGCCCAGCTTTCCCGAGCTCTGCAGAAGCACACACCAAAGTGAGCTTTGGCAGGTGGATTTGGGCACAGGCAGAGGGGCACACAGGCACACTTGGTTTTTTTCTGTTTCACACTCATTTCTTTGTGCTACCAGGATCATCGTGACAGCCTTATCTCTCAAATAAAGCCCGTTACCTCATCTCTAATTGCTTATCCAAAGGCAGGCGAGCTCTAATTTCCCCGCGTTAATAAATGACACCGAAGAAGAAAAGCTTTGTTTGCGCTGGCTCGCTCAGGTTAACCAGCGTAACCCCCTGAATGCATTAGGAAACCTTGCGCTTCTCTAGTGGCCAAGGAGAGATGGTGTTCACCTCAATCACCAGCGGCCTTTCGTTTATTTACTTTTTACTCATGTTCATGGCCCTGTTCTCCTTTTCCTGATGAGAACATAGCAGTGACCTGGGTCAGTGTTCCGCCGTCTGTGGGTACCTCCAGGTTGAGGGTAATAGCAGTTGCCTGGGAGGAGGGGTGGCCTCCGTGATTTCAAGGCTCCCTGTCTTGACCACCTGCTGCTCATCTTTCCTTCAAAGCCGGGACGCTCTCCATGAACCTTTGCACTGATTGGTGTACCCAGAATTGTAATATGGTACCTGCTTTTCCTTTTTGAAGCCTTATGGGACATGGTTTTATGGATTTCATACGTGAATGTGAGGAGGGCAGGTTCTGAGGGTCAGAGAATTAAAAGTGGCCATTAGGTTCTGAATCAGTTTTATGACTGTGCTCTGTGGAATAGTGAGAATGCTTTGCTTCTCCTGGGAAACTGTGTGATCGCTCTAACCACCTAAGAATACCTCTGGTAATTTAAAGGTCCTCTAAATATGAGTTATTTTCATACATCAGGCGTGTTAGCTTATTTCCTTTCTCTTCTCCTCAGAATGAAATGGATGATGTGCCCTTCTTTGATGTCCAACTGCCTTACGAATTGGCAATTAATATATTTCAGTACCTGAGTAGGAAGGATCTCGGAAGGTGTGCACAGGTAAGCTGTCATTAACCAGTGTTCCAGATTTGCCGAAACAGAATTACAGACTTTAAAGCATTAACGAATTGAATATCAACTTCACTTGAAGGAATGCAACCCTGAACTTAAAGGATTATTTCCCACGTCGCCACTTGATGTTCATCTCTCTGTGACCAACCCTGCGGTCTGAGTTCTGGCTGACCTCCGGCAGTGTGCCCAAATCTGACAGCTGTGCTCAGCCTTCGTGGAGCTAGCCTGTGCTGCTCCTGCAGAGGTGTGAGCCACTGGTTCAGTCGAGGCCGTCATTAGGTTGGTAGCTGATGGTTAGCACAGGGCCAGAACAGTAAAGTCATGTTTTAGGCAGATAGTCCAAATTCCCCTGTAACCACCAGAATCTCACTCAGTAAGGTGCGAGGCATGTGAGAACTGAGAGCCCATCGAGGGAACTGCAGATCACTGTCACCCACCTTATGGCTGCTCGGGGCTGTGTGCCCATGGAGGGGTCTGCTGGGAGTTTTCATCTAGGCCAGGCTTTATTTTGCACACGAATCATGGTGGAGCTTGATAAAATGCAACTTTGGATCCAGAAGGTCTGGGGTAGGGCCAAGGAGTCCTGGTGGTACAGTGGTTAAAGTGCTTAGCTGCTACTGCAAGGACAGCTGTTCGAACCCACCAGCTGCTCTGCAGGAGAAAGGTGTGGTGGTCTGTGTCCATAAAGATTACAGCCTTGGAAACCCTAAGGGGCAGTTCTACTCTGTCCTCCTATAGGGTTGCTATGAGTCGGAATTGACTCGACGGTAGTGGGTTTCATTTTTTGGTTTGGGGTAGGGCCTGATAATTCTGCATTTTTAAACAGCTCCCAGGTGATACCGATGTGGCCTGGGCCACACTTTGAGAGGCAAGGGTTTATGCTATCGAAATTGTTTTCTTTGTTTTGGGCCACAAGTTTATAATTGATTTCTTGTAATTGTTATGATTTGCTTAGCATTTGGCTTTTGATGAACAACTGTGTTCCCCAGAAGACACTAAAGTATCTGTTTTCCATAACTGCTGAAGAATTAGATTGTCTAGTGGTTACTCTTTCCCATCCTGGATTCTGTAATGGTTTTATACACCTTCAAGAGAAAGAGTCCAGTAAAACTGAGCTAAACACCAGGGTCCAAAGCACCACCAAGAATGTGAAGTTAAAAGTATTAGGGCAGTTTGAAGGTGGTGAAAACTGTAGCTAAATTTAGAGTTTAGAGCTTGCTACTTCTATAGCAGGTCAATGAAGTAACAAATGATGCAGGACAATTAGAGTTTCTGGTGTTACACTATTTCTTTTATGACGTATTTGTTTAATCACAGTTATTTTTCTACTTAAATATGAATTTGAGAAGGTTTTCCATATTCTTGGTTGCCATAATATTACTTAAGTGGGGGTATTGGCCAGTATTTTTCTAGCAGAGTGGATCTTTAGGAAATGATGGAAATTATTTAAATGCTAAAAGTCACTAAATAAAAATAATAAAAAACAAAAAATAAAATGAAGTGTAGACCTGACTCAGAGCCTATCGGTTGCATCAAGTCAGAGTACCTAAATTGTCTTTTTCTTTTCCCTTGGAAATTTGATTTGTTATATTCTTACTTTACACATTGGCCGTGCTCCCAAGAGTTGAAAACAAGGGTGTAGCTAAATGAGTCCAACTCCTGGATTTCAGCCTGATGCTGTTAGCTGAAGCCTTGGAACAGGGTCTAATAGCTAACTGCTTTACACAAAGTCGGCATTAGACGATAAAATCTTCATTCTTCCTAGGGAGCTGCTGTTTAAGGAATCATTTCTTTTAACATTGCTTTTTGCTCTCTTGCTTTGTAGAAGGCCATGTGGCTTTCACATCTGCTGCTGGTTCTCTCATGCAAAGAGTTTATCAGTTAAAGATAGGATCTAGTGGGAGAAGAGATCCCCTTTTGGTACAGTGGGGCTGCATTTCAGGGTAGATTGGTTATGCTGTCGAGATTATTCTGCAGGTGTGAACAGTTTAATTTGCAACACAGTAGTCCAATTGTCCACCAGAATTCTTCCCTCTTTCGCCAGTTGAATTTTTTATTGTTGTTGTTCAACCTAGTTTTTAGAGCACATGGATAAGAATAGAAAAATTCTTAAATAGAACCCCTTTAATAATGTCCAGTGGCCAGGGCGGCTGTGATCTGTGAAGCCAGGCATTTTATAGAGCTTTCCTGCTAATGACAGTGGATGGCCAGTAGTTTGTAGAATTGGCTTTGTTTTTTCAAGCGTTAAAACAAAAACTACAAAGTCATAAAAATAAGTAGCATTTTTATTTGTTTCTTGTGGTGCTTTATTTTTGAAAGCGGGAAAAAGTCCTTCTATTGAATGAGATGCCCTGCTGCTTTACGATTTTATTTTAGAGGCTCTGTCTCTCTCTCCCTCTCCCCTCTCCCCCACCCCTCTCTTCTCTCTTTTTTAATCTAGGCACCTTGGGATTTTAGTGAAATTGGTCCAGTTATGTGGAATTGGCACCATGAACTGTATGTGTGCCCTTGGAGAAAACCTGTTTGCTTGGATCCTTATGCCAAATTCGTAACTGACTAAATAGTAAGGAACCCTGACTGAGGAGGACTTTTGAGATTTGATTATGCCACGAACTATGTTGGAGAACTGATTGTGCTTTGACTTTGCCTCCTTTCCGCATTCCCTCCTCTGTTTCTGCTTTGTAATAAGGCTTTATGTGTTCAAAGCTAAAGTCCTACTACATTCATTTGCAATCCTGGTGTACTTTTGATGCTGACCTCTCTATTGTCTTGTTACCAGTTATGCCTTGAGGGATTTAGTATCTCTGTGGGAGGATTTCATGCTGCAATGTCTCTAAAACAGTGACGTTTAGTAAGCAAAGTTACGAGTTAGACAATTCATTGAACATCTTTATCATTTTGCTACTTATAATTTTATATTCATCTTTTTTCATGCCCACAGGATTCCTAGCACTTTCCTGGATAATATTTTTAAGTGGATAACAGTTAAAAAATTACAAGTGATTTGTTTTTATGAGAAAAATAAGCCTGCTGTTATGTCACAACATGAATAATTCTGAGGAATGTTGACTTTTAGGTATTATTGGCATTTGTTTTTTCAAACTTTTTGTTTTGAAATAACTATAAATTCACAGGAAGTTGTAAAAAAAAATAGTAGAAAGAACTCTGATGTATTCTTCACCTAGATTCCTCCAGTGGTAACATCTTGCATAACTTTAGTGCAGTATCACATCAGAAAATTGACAGTGGTACAATCCACAGAGTTTATTTAGATTTCACCAGTTTACGTGTACTTATCTGTGTGTGTACATTTAATTCCATGCAGTTTTGTCATATGTGTGGGATCGTGTGATCATCACTGCAGTCAAGATACAAAACATTCCATCGTAAGGATCTTTAGAGCCACAGCCACTTCTCCCCTCTCCTCAACCTCTAACCCCTGGCAACTATGAATCTGTTCTCCATCTCTATAACTTTGTCTTTTTTGGTTGTTTTCATTCTTTTTTTTTTTAACATTTTATCTTAGTTACGTGTGTATTTCCTAATACATAATTTCTGTTGTACGTAGGGTCACATGAGTCGGAACCGATTCCGCAGCACCTAACAACAATTCTAGAAACTTAGCTGCATAGGCAACAATGTCATGCTATTCAGATAAAAGGTAGAAAAGTGCACATAAAGAAAGCAATAAGGAAAAAAAGGAGGGTAAAGACTTAAGATTTATGATAAAATTGGCGAACATGAAGTAGATGGTACCAAAATAAAGAGGTAATTCTGGAACTAAAGTCCAGTACCTTAGATTATGTTATTTTCAAGTGTGAAGAAAAATGAGATCTTATATTCTTTCCAGATGTCCAAATAGGGGAAACTAAAATCTGAGTGCTTATAAGCACAAGATCTTTTTTTTTTTTTTTTTTAATTGTGCTTTAGGTGAAGAAGAAAGTAGAAGTAGAAAGTTTACAGCTCAAGTTGATTTCTCATACAAAAATTTATATAGATATTGTTTTGTGACATTAGTTGCAGTCCCCACAATGTGACAGCACACCCCTCCTTTCCGCCTTGGGTTCTCTGTCTCCATTTGTCCCATTCCCGTCCCTGCCTGCCTTCTCATGCTCCCTTCGGACAGGAGCAGCCCATTTGGTCTCCTGTATCTGATTGAACTAAGAGGCGCATTCCTCATGTGTATTGTTTTTTGTTGTATAGTCCTGTCTAATGTTTGTTTGAAGAGTGGGCTTCGGGAATAGTTTCAGTTCTAGGTTAACAGTGCATCGGGGGGCCGTAGTTTCGGGGGTTCCTCCAGTCTCTGTCAGACCATTAAGTCTGGTCTTTTTACGTAAGCGCAAGATCTTACTGAAAGTCAAGAATTCATAGCCAAGTGAGACTGTATTGATTTCAATGGCCGAAATGATTCAGAAGGCCTGCAGTTGCTGGCCGGATTCCTTTAGTGCTTAACTCCCACTTTTGCCGCCAGACGTTTCTCTCAAGATATGTGGAAGGTTCCTTGCATGCCTGAGACCCAGACACCTTCAGGAGTTCCCTCTTAATTCACCCGGCTGCAGCAGCTACCCCTTTTAAGGAGAAGCAAAGCAACTCTAGAAAAGAAAAAAGGTTGAGAGCTAGATGAAATAAGAATGGCAAAATATTGTAGTCATTGAACTGAGTGATGTGTACGTGGGAGTTCTTTATTCACTCTACTTTTGTGAGCTTGAAATTTTCCACAGTTGAAAAGTTTATAAAGAAAAAAAGCAGAAAGCAAGAAAGAGATTGCATTTAAATAAGAAAGTGAGAACCTCCTGAGGGCAGTACATGTTAGGCTCTGAGCTATTTGTATGACCTTTGAAAATCAAAGCAATCCAATTTTTTTTCAAAGTTAAATTTAAAAATTGTACTTAACTACCTATATGGGATCAAATGGACAACATCAACTTGAAATATTAGGTAGGAGCCTTAGGGGGCAGTGAGTTTATGTTAATGGAGAAGAACAACTC